GAAGGAAAAAAAAATTGGGAAACAATGACAAAAATGATGGGGGGGGAGAAAAAATTATATATATAAAAAAAAAAAGTTAAAATTTAAATAAAAAAACCGAATGCAAAAAATACTCCAGGACCAACATATGATAAAATTGGATAAATTTAAATTTTAAAAATCAAAAATTTAAATTAAAAATAAAACACATAAGTATATGTGCCATGCATATACATCCATAGCTTGTTGGACTATAAATATGCATCATAAATTAATGACAACAAAATTGAATATAAATTATGTAATCACCCAATCTCGGTACAGGGCCTCAATATGTATAAAACCTTAAAATAATGCTTAAACCAGGGGCGACAGTAAAATTAAATACAGCATATAAATAGACCTGATAAATTAGATAAAACAATTATAAGTCCCAGATAATAAAACAATTAAGATCAAAACTCCACATTGATCCATAAGGTTGCCTGTGTATGCATTAATATAAATCCATCTGGACTCTGCTATGGTCTCAGAGATCTAATTTTATTACTTCTTCTCCAGTGTTTGACATATTTATTGAATGCCCCAAAAACTTCAAACCTGAGGGATCTTTTTATTGTGTTGTTTTAGGAAGTGTTTGGAAACACTATGTTTTGGGAATCCTTTAAGTTTTGTACATGCTCCCTTATAACGTTTCCAAAGGGGTCTTTTAGTCCTTCCTATGTATTGAAAAACCACAGTCACATTCCAAGCCATAAAAAAAACTCCTTCAGTACGTGACACGAATAGTGAAATTTCTAATTTTAAACTCAGTTCCATCATAATTAGCCATATAAATGTCTTACATTTAACATTTTTCCCTATTAGTTTCTCCTACATGCATAGCACTGCTTGCATGGGAAAAAACCTTAGTTTGGTCAAGGAACGTAATTTTCTTCTTAAAACAACACAATAACGATCCCTCAGGTTTGAAGTTTTGGGGCATTCCAAAAATATGTCAAACACTGGAGAGGAAGTAATAAAATTAGATCTCTGAGCCAAGCAGAGTCCAGATGGATTTATATCATGCATACACAGGGACCTTATGGACTCAATGTGGAGTTTGATCTTAATTGTTTTTCTTTATATAAACATATCATGGTCAACGTTGGCCGTTAACCCTGATGAAGTCACAACGCACGTGACGCAACGCGTCGGTACGCCATTTACGGGCACAAGGTGACGCATGTCCGAACGCAGCGGCCATATTGGTTTCCCCAGATATACCATGCAGTACACCCATAGGATGTGGTGACAGGCTGATGTGTTGGGGAATACATGTGAGTGCAATTGAATTTTTTATCCATTTTAAATAAACAATATTGCACTATGAAAGGATCTTTTCTGTGTCTCACTTATATGCCCTTGAGTGGAGGTGGAGCAGAATAAATACGCTGGGGAGGAGTCTCTATTTATCTTGTGGGTCCCTGGATGAGCAGCATATTTATGAGGATCTGGTACAGAGGAGGTTATTAGCCTTTTGACCTGTGTGGGTGAAGATCACCTTTTAACACAGTTTCACTTGCATGGACTTTATATCTTGATTATTCACGGATGTTTTTTTGCATTTTGATTCACATTTTATATGCTAATATACTGAGTGGTTATTAGGTTTGAAAATAAATGGTTTATGCACATGATATTTTTTATATCACTTGTATTATATTCACTCAGTTTTTGTGTAGTGGTTTCACATTAAGGATATATTCTGTTTGGGGGTCAGTTTACCACTGAGCACTAATATGTTGACACATTTGGCACAATTAAAGTATGAATTTATTTATGATTAGGATTTAGGTTGATATAGCGCTTCGCTATTTTTATGTATGTTAATTTCACACTTATTGGTTTAAGTTGAGTGGCAGCAGCTATAATTATAGGGATCACATCCATATAAAGCGCAGGAGGACATCCTCATTTATATACATTCTCTGACACCTCTCCTCCACCATCCACACTACATTCTCCGACAGCTCTCCTCCTCCCACACCATCCTCACACCTACATTCTACCGACAGCTCTCCTCCCCCCACCCTATCCACACTACATTCTTGACAGCTCTCTTCCTCCACCATCCACACTACATTCTCCGACAGCTCTCCTCCCACCATCCACACTACATTCTCCGACAGCTCTCCTCCCACCATCCACACTACATTCTCCCCCCACAGCTCTCTCTCCACAGACCCACCCTCCACACTACATTCTCCGACAGCTCTCCTCCCCCCCCACCATCCACACTACACATTCTCTGACAGCTCTCCTCCACCATCCACACTACATTCCTCCGACAGCTCTCCTCCACCATCCACACTACATTCTCCGACAGCTCTCCTCCCATCCCACACTACATTCTCCGACAGCTCTCCTCCACCATCCACACTACATTCTCCGACAGCTCTCCTCCACCCCTATCCACACTACATTCTCCGACAGCTCTCCTCCCCCCACCATCCACACTACATTCTCCGACATCCCTCCTCCCCCCACCATCCACACTACATTCTCCGACAGCTCTCCTCCCCCCACCATCCACACTACATTCTCCGACAGCTCTCCTCCCCCCACCATCCACACTACATTCTCCGACAGCTCTCCTCCCCCCCCATCCAACACTACATTATCCGACAGCTCTCCTCCCCATCTCCCACCATCCACACTACATTCTCCGACAGCTCTCCTCCCCCCACCCATCCACACTACATTCTCCGACAGCTCAACTCCCACCATCCACAACTACTTCTCCGACATTCTCCGACCAGCTCTCCTCCCACTCTCCATCCACACTACATTCTCCGACAGCTCTCTCCTCCACACTACATCCTCTGACAGCTCTCCTCCCCCCACCATCCACACTACATTCTCCGACAGCTCTCCTCCCCCCACCATCCACACTACATTCTCCGACAGCTCTCCTCCCCCCACCATCCACACTACATTCTCCGACAGCTCTCCTCCCACCATCCACACTACATTCTCCGGCAGCTCCTCCACCATCCACACTACATCCTCTGACAGCTCTCCTCCCCCCACCATCAACGCTATATTCTCCGACAGCTCTCCCTCCCTCCACACTACATTCTCTGACAGCTCTCCTCCCCCCATCCACAGTACACAGTATATTTTCTGGCAGTAAGGAGACGAATAGGGCTTTCCAATGTTGGCTAGAAAAGATTAACTGTAGCAAGCCGATTTTACCTTTAACTGAAGTGTCTCTTCTGTGAGGACAAACCCCCTCACATTTTTTATCATAACTTTCTATAAACTAAAGTGCATCAGCTGATATATACCACCATACTGTTTGTTAGAAATATCAGCTGGTATGTGTACTCTGATGTCTAATTAGGTTTCCTTTAAGTGTAAAACATTTCCCGCACACTGAGCAAGGGTAAGGGCGCTCACCCCGTGTGACTTCTCTGATGTTCAAAAAGCACTTGTTTCTGAGTGAAGCTTTTACCACACTCTGAACAGGGAAAAGGACGCACGCCTGTGTGAGTTCTTTGGTGTCTTCGAAGTTTTGCATTCTCAGTGAAACATTTCCCGCACTCTGAGCAAGAAAAAGGATGCTCACCTGTGTGATTTCTCTGGTGTCTAAGCAGTTTTTCTTCTTCAGCGAAACATTTTCCACAGTCTGAACATGAAAATGGACATTCGCCCTTGTGAATTTTCTGGTGTTTAAAAAGTACACTTTTCTGAATAAAACATTTCCCACACTCTGGGCAAGGGTAAAGACATTCCCCAGTGTGAATTCTCTGATGCATAATAATATCTCTTTTCTGAAATAAATATTTCCCGCACTCTGAACATGTGAAAAGATGTTCACCTGTGTGAATTCTTTGGTGTCTAAGAAGTTTTCCTTTATGAGCGAAACATTTCCCACACTCTGAACATGAAAAGGGGCGCTCGCCTGTGTGAATTTTCTTGCGTCCATAAAGGCTTTCTTTCCTTGAAAAACGTTTTCCACACTCTAAACACGAGAAAGGATATTCACCAGTGTGTGTTCTCTGGTGTGCAAGAAGTGTGCTCTTATGAGCAAAACGTTTATCGCAATCTGAACAGGAGAAGGGACGCTCGCCCGTGTGACTCCTCTGGTGTATAAGAAGGTGTGATTTCTGGGTGAAACATTTCCCGCACTCTAAACAAGGAAAGGGGCGCTCGCCTGTGTGACTTCTGTGATGTGTAAGAAGTATTTTTTTCTCAGCAAAACATTTCCCACACTCTGAACATGAATAGGGACGCTCACCCGTGTGAATTCTCTGGTGTACAACAAGGGTTGCTTTCTCACCAAAACATTTCCCGCACTCTGCGCATGAAAAAGGACGCTCGCCGCTGTGGCTTTTCTGGTGTCTGAGAAGATATCTGTTTTCAGCAAAATATTTCCCACACACTGTACATGAAAAAGAACTTTTGCCTGACTGAACTCCTTCTTTACATGGTGATATCTTGAGATTTGATGGATCTGTTGATCTCTTTGTACTGTGATGGATATCTGAAGTCAGAGCATGTGACTGATCAGAAAGCAACTCAGGATTCATTGATGATGTCAAACTGTAAGTTGTGTGATGGACAATTTGGGTGATGGGATTTACTCCCGGAGAATATATTGGAATGCCATTCTCTTCTAATTTACAATCTGGAGATGTAGGCTGTCCCTCTATGTTATTCGGAAAAGACTGTCCATCTGTTGGAAAGCAATTTTTAACAAAGGTTATACATTTTATTTTGTTTTTTATATCTTGCATTTAGGAGGCACATATGAGTCATATGGTGTCCAGTATCTCCTCCTCATTTGTTGGGGGAACATGACGTTATATTGAGGAACGGAGATGGACCTTTCATATGGTGTCCAGTATCTCCTCCTCATTTGTTGGGAACGTGAAGTTATATTGAGGAATGGAGATGGACCTTTCATATGGTGTCCAGTATCTCCTCCTCATTTGTTGGGAACGTGACGTTGTATTGAGGAACGGAGATGGACCTTTCATATGGTGTCCAGTATCTCCTCCTCATTTGTTGGGAACGTGACCTTATATTGAGGAACGGAGATGGACCTTTCCTATGGTGTCCAGTATCTCCTCCTCATTTGTTGGGAACGTGACGTTATATTGAGGAACGGAGATGGATTTCCTATGGTGTCCACCTCCTCCTCATTTGTTGGGAACCGTTATATTGAGGAATGGAGATGGACCTTCCATATGTAGTATCTCCTCCTCATTTGTTGGGGAACGTGACGTTATATTGAGGAACGGAGATGGACCTTTCCTATGGTGTCCAGTATCTCCTCCTCATTTGTTGGGAACATGACGTTATATTGAGGAACGGAGATGGACCTTTCCTATGGTGTCCAGTATCTCCTCCTCATTTGTTGGGAACATGACGTTATATTGAGGAACGGAGATGGGCCTTTCATATAGTGTACATTTGCCATTTCATATGCGTTGAGAACATTGGACAGTGTAATAGATACAAAGGCTATGTTCTTTTAGATAAAAAATTGTATATTATATAGTGTACAATATGCAGACATGACATTTTCCTAATTTTTTTCCTTAAGAGAAAGGAAAAAAGTGGTTGTTTTGCCTCTTAGATGTTAAATAAAAATGATAAATGTTTCTGCATTTAGTGTTTCTTACTCACATGTGTCCCATATGTAGAGAAGATTCCTCCTGCTTACTTTTCATAATCATCTCCCCCTCCTCCATAGACTGCTGATCTCCACTAATCAATGTCTCTTCTTCTTCCTCTTTAAGCTCAATTTTAATGTTTTTTAATTCTTCACCCTAAATCCCAAAGGCGACAGAATACTTTTTTATTTAAAGAACAAGAGATTCCATAGAAGAATGTCCTCTCATAACTTAGAATAGATTTTAAGATCTACATGCTCAGTCTCATCTACCTGATGATGGTGAGGGATGGTGTGATTTTCCTGGGCGGAATTCCAGGAATACAGAGGACGGGGACATCTCTCTGGTGGGTTCCCATGGGTTTCCCATTACTGGACCATCTACCTGATGATGGTGAGGGATGGTGTGACCTTCCTGTGTGGATTCCCGGGAATACAGAGGACGAGGACATCTCTCTGGTGGGTTCCCATGACTGGATCCATCTGTAGGAAACACACACACTGACTGAATCCATTGTTTCTATGTGTTTATCAGATGATGGGGGATCTAGGTGGACCCTCCGTACTGCTCTCTCCCTTTACAATAAAGTCTCCTCTTACCCGGTGATGTGAAGGGCGGCTGATTGTCCATCATGACGTCCTTGTAGAGATCCTTGTGTCCTTCTAAATACTCCCACTCCTCCATGGAGAAATAGATAGTGACATCCTGACACCTTATAGGAACCTGACACACACAATGATACAGTCACCATCCAGACACATCCCTTGTCTGTTACTGGAGAATGTCCCAGAATTCCCGGCACCGCTCACCTCTCCTGTCAGCAGATCAATGATCTTCTGGGTGACTTCTAGAACCTTCTTGGCACTGGTTCCCTCTGTTGTCAGGCGGTGAGGTGGAGGCACTGTGATGGGTGATGTCCTGTGAAGACGACTGATGGGTGGTGATGGGTCACCTGTTATGTTTATTTATAACCCTGAGTAACGTGAGAAGGTTATAATTATCACTACAAACTGCCCAGAATCTTTCTGATTTGTCTATTTTGGTTAGTGTTTTACATTTAAAACATTTAGTTTAGGGAAGGGTTACAAGCTCTGCCAAGTTTTTGTTTTGCTATCAGTGTCTCCTTCTGGAAATTAATAGTTTCCATTTGTCCTTGTGACTATTGTAAGCATGACTTAAAGCTGGGTTTCTCAACCAGGGTTCCATGGAACTCTAGGGTTCCTCAAGAAGCTGCTAGGGGTTCCTTGAGCAATGAGCAACTTCTGCCTCCCATATAAGTTTTCACTGACACCTTCTTTTAGCTATCTGTAAGGGGGTAATTCTTCCCAATGACAAGTGGTAGGAGCATTCTTCCCACTGTCTATCACGCTATAGTGTCATGAGCTGTAGATATAGAAATTCTTAGCAGACGTTCCCTGAGACTGAAGAGTTATTTTAAGTGTTCTTCTGTGTTGATGAGGTTGGCAGAGGCTGATTTTCACATCTTCAGACTTGCCTTATCTAAGTGTGGGAAACTACAGTACACATGTAGCTACGGGGCGGGGAAGACCCTGACTACAGATAATTGACCCAGCAAAGGTGGCAGTTTTTCTGGAGAGCTAGCTCAGGTGTGGTCCAAGTAGGATCAACCCTACTTACTACCTTCACCCACCATCGCTGCGATGCTCACAATGGCTGGTTGAGATTCAGAGAGGTCACTGTTCCAAACTTTCCTTGCAGCGCTCTAGGGTGGTCATTTCACATTTCCTAATAAGACCTCTCTACATCTGCCAGGCTGGAGCCATGATCATCCGAGGTCTTCAAAGAGGACCTGCTTACCACTCCCTGTCCTCATCTCGTTTATTTGCGCAGCGAGAACTCACCATCCATACCTACCATTGCAGCGCTCTGCAGAGGTCATATACCATCTCACCTTTCCCCTGTAAAGGCAGCCTAGGATAGAAGATCTCCCTACATATGCAGGATAGGAGTCGTGTTCATCCGAGGTCTCATAGGACCTGGACTGAAGATGGTGGTGTACAATGGTGGCCAAGTTGCGGGGGATGTATATTCCATCGAGGTTTGGGCAGAAATAGTGTTGCATCCTGTTTTCATGCTCATCTCCAGGACTTCTCCAAAGCGTCCCCCGTCCTCTGGAACTCTCTACCCCAATCTATCCGACTATCGCCTACTCTGCTCACTTTTAGGCGATCTCTGAAAACCTCTCTCTTCAGGGAAGCCCACCCTGGCCCTCAGGTAATAATGGAATCTTCTACTCTTCCAACCAGTCCATCCGCCACAGTTATTACCTTTTGTACCACTAGGCCCTCCCTCCTAGATTGTAAGCTCCAAAGATCAGGGCCCTCCTATCGCTCTTGTATTGAACTGTATTGTTGCTGTATTGTCTCCTGTTATATTGTAAAGCGCTGAGCAAACTGTAGGCGGCATAAATCCTGTATAATAATAATAATCTACCTATGTTTTTATTCCATTCTTAGGGTTTCTCTTACTAACTATATAAAGTAGTACATAAATGTGTTCCATCACTTGAAGATAAAGGACATCATGGTGACTATGGAGGAATAGGATGGACATGGCAGTGACTATGGGGGAAGAGGACAGACATGACAGCGACTATGGAGGAAGAGGATGACAGCGACTATGGAGGAAGAGGACGGACATGACAGCGACTATGGAGGAAGAGGACGACATGACAGTGACTATGGAGGAAGAGGACTGACATGACATGACTATGGAGGAAGAGGACGGACTGACGGGAGTTACTGGCTGTAAATAGAAAATATCATCTTATTACCTCCTTCAATTCCAGGAATGTTCTCTATGTCCTCTCACCCGGAACTTCCTGTGTGCGCTTTGTATACCTTCCTGTATTTATATTACATCACTTCCTGTCTGTGTGGCCCAATCACAATAAGGGAGAGCACCACCTTGCTGTGATTTGAATAACTACCACCATACATTATGTTTCGATATTTTGTCTGTTGTCTTTTGGTTCTTTCTTTTGTCACATTGCACATACTAAAACCAATTCAGTAAAAAAAAATACTCACAATAATTAATTCAATCCTTTTGAAGCCCCAGATTCAGAGGCCTAGAGATCTGTGTATGACATGATGACACAGTTTTCCTGTATAACCTCATATACCTGTGTGTGACATGTCACCATCATTCCTCATAACCCCATATACCTCTGCGTGACATGACACTATCACCCCATACAATGTGATGGATTTGGTAAAATGCCTATTTTGTTTTCTGTTTAAAATATACATTTTATATATATTTACTTTTATATTTTTTTATATTTCTAAATATATGTGTTGTGCGTATTTATATATATATTGCCTGCTGGGCTTTGCAGTTTTCCTTAATTTGTTTTGTTCAGAGCAATGTTTTCAACCCCTCCCTTTGTACTGAGAGGATTTTATTTAGATTTTGAGAATGTGAGGGGGGGTGAAAAAAGATAACGGGATGAGAAGCAAGTATCAAGTTTCTATATTTCTCCTATATTTCAGCCAAGCAAAATGTGCCTTTTAGAATGTGACTGTATATACGTAATAGTGACGTATATTCTATTGTTTTCTATGTATAAAAGGTTAAGCACAGCTCTGCAATAAACAGAGATGAGATGATGTGAAAGTGGTTGTACTGGACAGTTGTCCGTGTAATTATTTTCCGGCGTGCACGCAATCCATATCTCAAAATTAGGAACACCAGCAGAAATCCTACCCTGAGCCCGATTGTGGTTCTCACAACCTTTTTAATAACACAATATACCTGTGCGTGACATGACACCATCATTCCTGATAACCCCATATACCTGTGTGTGACATGACACCATCATCCCGTATAACCCCATATACCTGTGTGTGACACGACACCATCACCCCCGTATAACCCCATATACCTGTGTGTGACACGACACCATCATAACCCCTGTGTGACACGACACCATCACCCTGTATAACCCCATATACCTGTGTGTGACACGACACCATCATCCCGTATACCCCATATACCTGTGTGTGACACGACACCATCACCCCGTATAACCCCATATACCTGTGTGTGACACGACACCATCATTCCTCATAACCCATATACCTGTGTGTGACACGACACCATCATTCCTCATAAACCCATATACCTGTGTGTGACATGACACCATCACCCCGTATAACCCCATATACCTGTGTGACACGACACCATCACCTCGTATAACCCATATACCTGTGTGTGACATGACACCATCATTCCTCATAAACGCATATACCTGTGTGTGACATGACACCATCATTCCTCATAAATGCATATACCTGTGTGTGACATGACACCCTCATTCCCTGTATAAAACCCCATATACCTGTGTGTGACATGACACCATCATTCCCGTATAACCCCATATACCTCTGCGTGACATGACACCATCACCCTCGTATAACACCATATACCTGTGTGACATGACATGACACCCTCACCTCGTAGTAACCCCACACCATCACCTCGTATAACCCCATATACCTGTGTGTGACATGACACCATCATCCCGTATAACCCCATATACCTGTGTGTGACATGACACCATCATCCCGTATAACCCCATATACCTGTGTGTGACATGACACCATCATTCCCATTATAAACGCATATACCTGTGTGTGACATGACACCATCACCCCGTATATCCCATATACCTGTGCGTGACATGACACCATCATCCCGTATAACCCCATATACCTGTGTGTGACATGACACCATCATTCCTCATAAACCCATATACCTGTGTGTGACATGACACCATCATTCCCGTATATCCCATATACCTGTGTGTGACATGACACAATCATTCCTCATAACCCCATATACCTCTGCGTGACATGACACCATCACCCCATATAACACAATATACCTGTGCGTGACATGACACCATCATTCCTCATAACCTCATATACCTGTGTGTGGCATGACAGCATCACCCCGTATATCCCCATATACCTGTGCGTGACATGACACCATCACCTCGTATAACCCCATATATCTGTGTGTGACATGACACCATCATCCCGTCGTATAACCCCATATACCTGTGTGTGACATGACACCATCATTCCTCATAAACGCATATACCTGTGTGTGACACGACACCATCACCCCGTATAACCCCCATATACCTGTGTGTGACACGACACCATCATCCCATATAACCCATATACCTGTGTGTGACACGACACCATCATCCCGTATAACCCCATATACCTGTGTGTGACACGACACCATCATCCTGTACAACCCCATATACTTGTGCATGACATGACACCATCATTTCTCACAACCCCATATACCTGTGCGTGACATAACACCATCATTCCTCATAAACCCATATACCTGTGCGTGACATGACACCATCACTCTGTATAACCCCATATACAGTCATGGCCGAAATTGTTGGCACCCTTGATATTTCTCCAGGAAATCATGTATT